CTCTGGCCCATCAACATCAGGCAAAAGAAAAACTTCTGACTCCTTAGAAAGCACTGCAGGTTTAATTACAACTTGGCAAATTAATAAGCATTTTACAATAGGGCTGTACAGGATCTTGAGCATATGCTCTTGCATTTGTAAATTGGCAACAATAAAATGCACATGTCATGACAGCAAGCATAAAATTGCAAATGCAATTCCAACTGCAAATCTAAGACCATTTCCACAACATCCTGAACAGCCCTATTGTATTTTTTACTTAAACCTTTTTCAGAAATTATATAATTATGTTGATTTTATTATCTTTTTAGAAGTCCTCGATTTCGGACCATCAACTTCTAAAAAGAAGAAGTCTCATCTAGAGGCTTACATACAACAAAAGAAGAAGTCGGATGAACAGCTTGAAAAGTTGCCGGAGGAAAGTCTAAGGAAGAAAGAGGAGAGAGCTCAAGAAAAGGCGAAGATAGAGAGGGAAAAATTGATATCTTGAAGTCGATGGTGGATATTTTAAAAAAGTGATTTATGTATTTCTTCGTGGTACGTCTTAAAGATATACTTCTTTTCCAAAAATATGTTATGTCAACTTACAGTTTTTCTTCGTTGCAGGTATCTTGGAAGTGGATTTTAATTATTGTTATCTTTTTTAAAGTCATAATACATACTTTATTTATTTTTTTAAATTTAAATTAAACAGTGTGAAATATGGAAAAATAAAATATTTTGAAGTACATACATACAAATAAACATTGTTTCTTGACTAAATCTATGGATTTGGGTAACGGAGTTGTATTTCTTGACATATTGGATCCCTCACAAGATTTCCCTTTCTTCAGATATATCTGAAATAAACTTTAAATCGTCTTGCTATGTTATGCAGAACGCAAAAGGCTCTAACGAAGTGGCAAAGTTTTTCCATGTCCCGGAGCTTGCAATAGTACAATTGGCGGAACCTTTGCTTCAATAAGCCAAAGGAGTGTTCAATGGCGATGCGCCCAGAGCTTAGTTTTATATTGAAATACTTTTGAGCATTTGTTAAATGCCCACTATCTCTATATGGTGTTATCACATATTTGTTACAGTTACAAGTGTTACAATAATTTGAAATAAACATATTTTTTTAAGTTAAATTCATTTTTCGCACGTTTACATAAATATTACCTCCAAAATAAGAAGGCAAGTTATCATAAAGTGTCGAATTTTGGAAAACCCAACTGTCGGGGCTGGAACCAGGGTATCCAACGAAAATGTTAATAAATTTTTTCTTTTCGTTGCATACCGCTTGCAAACAAATCGACATAATCTCCTTCCTATTGATGTAGTCATCCTTTGATCTTTTTGGCGGATCTATCCGAATATGCGTTCCGTCAATGCATCCTTAAATAATATTTGGATAATATAAATAAATATAATAAATCCTAAAACGAAATCAGTGATTTACCAATTGCTTTAGAGAAATAGCATTTGCGGTTAAAAAAATTGCTTGATTCTCCTTTTTGTTCTGCAGTAGGCCATTTAATCACATCTGGACTCAATGAGCTCATGAACTTTGTTACTCTGTTAATAACAATACATACAGATTACAGACATAAATTAAACCGGTCACCCAAATCCCTATAGTTGCATGCTTCGTGGCCAGCAAGCCACAGAAAAACAAGCAAGTGAGTCCTTGGTGACAACCTTTTGTCTGCTCTTAGATTTTGATAAAGTTCCGAAAGAGAGAATCGGTGAGCAAGTGTAAGTCGGCACAGTCAACTCTAAGAAGTTCTGCACACAATTTCGCCGACTTCTTTGTTTTAGAAGCACCAAAATATCGGATCTTATTTTTTCAATAATAATACGTTCTTCTTCATCATCGCTTTCCGATGAAGACGACTGCATCATCATCAAAATTGCAGTGACAATTAACTTCTTCTTTTCGTTCGAGCCAACGCCACCAACTTACTTAAACATAAAAATTACTATGAACATAAAAATGCACCCATAAAACACTAAAATACCTGCGATATTTAAAATTTCGTCCTGATTAACGCCATCTTCCGCCACTGCGCCTGAAGGTAAGAGCTCCATAGTTTTGCTTTCGCATGAGCCCACTTTTTAGTTAGTATATTGCAGTAATAAGCTTAATATACCTTTGTTTTACGATTATTTATTCACTTTTTCTATTTTTGACTTAATTTAATCAAAATATTTACGTTACAAGATAAATACGTTTATAATTCCTTTAAAGCGAATAGTAGTAATCAGCTGTTTTCGTACTGGCAAATTCTTACAAGTAAAAATTTATCCAGTAAAATCCAGTAAAAACTTGCAACTTCAACTGTAATTTTTCGCTCTCCCAATTTCCCCTACTTTGCAAGTTTTTGCGTACGAAAACGCCAAAACATGAAAATTCGTAAAAACTTTTGCTGGATTTTACTGGAAATGATAAACAAACGCAATTTATTA